TGCCCTCGAAAGCGGTAGTGCACTTCGAATTATGGCCTCTAAACGTTAATACGGCTTTGTTTTATGACTATTAGTGCTCGATTTCATTGCCAGCGTTCGCAATGCCGGCCGCAATCGCTTCTCCTTTCTTTTGCGCAGGAAGTTTGATGGGAAAAGAGCGAGCTTCAGGAAATTGTCTACTTCAGGAAAAGCGAAAAAATCTTCTTCCGGGCCTACCCGCCTTTACAGAAAATTCTTAGCAATTAATATATGGGAAATAATATATTATATTGCAAAGAGAGTTGCACTTGTGAAGCAAATTCCTTACATAGATGCACGTCAGTGATTGGGTGGAAAACTCGCCAAACTAGTAAGTGAACGAGTTAATTTTTAAAGAAAAAAGAGTGCATGTTAGCCTTGTAAGGGCTTAATGGAGTACGAGAAAGAAACGCTGCATACCATCGATGTTGGGAAAAGGTTGTAAGAGAATTTCAGAACTTGAAATTTGTTTGCAGAATTTGCAAGAAAATGGAAAAGATTATTAGCAGGACAAAATCACAATTTTTTGGCTTTTTTAAATAGGCGTAAAAAGCTTTATGGACCGTACTGCAACGGACAATACGCCAGGATTACTGTAGCTTTAATCGTAATATTCGCTGCGATGCATTGCTTTGCTTTTTCTTACTGTAACACGCGATAATCACAAATACTACAAGGAAAGTAGTAAAAAACACTGCAAAATGGAAAAATACGATTATAAACGAGATAAAATCGAAGTGCGGGGGCAACTCGCCCCCGAGTAACGTGAAGAATGTCGAATCTGACGTGGAACACTTCAACGTTTACACGCTTTTAAAGGGTTCCACGAGGTCTAGGGGCGATGCTTCCTTTCAGCTACAGCTGCTGCTTTTCCCACGCTTTTTATCGTCGCTGGAAACGCGGTTCCATTACGTGCCCCTCTAACCCCCCTACTCAAAAGTGGATCATTTTTAATCGTTGAAGTGTAGCAGAAGTTTCACGCTTTTGCGCTTGTTCACTATTCCGCTCACATTTTCTGATTGGAGTTTCCCATACCAGAAAACTTCGCCTATTTGCTTGAGATAGTCCTTGTTCTATGATTACGCATTGATTGAATTTAGAGAACGGTCCCTCGCGATGGACTTCGCTGTCCGAATAATCATTTCTCAGTGGGGTGGCCGCCCCTGATAGTCACCATAAGTGGGCGTGGCTTCCCTCGGTGGTTACAATAGGCTCTAATGTCTCAAAAATTGCCCCCATAGATGGGAGTGGCTGCCCAAATAGTCGGACTCTAAGTGGGAGTGGCCATCCTCAATAGTCACAGGATGATCTATCATCCTGGAGGTTTTCCAAAATTGTGCGTGACTGCCGCTAATAGTTGTAAAATCTCTGATTACCTGAAATTTAGTTCCGCTAAATGGGCGTGGCTTTCCTTAACAGTCACAGAATGCTCTAACTCAAAATACCCTGTAGATGGACGTGCCTGCTTAAAGGCAGTGTCTCACCAAAATTTAGTTGCCGAGATTTTTGCATTTTTCAAGCCTGTCGGACTCTGTATAGCACTGTATGGGCTTAAAATCGCACCACGCTCCCAAAAACCCCGTTTTCTGGAGGCCCCGCGGAAGCAACGTGGACGAGTTGTGCCTTCCAACTTCAGCCTAAGCCACAGTGGCAGCAACAGAGGGGAGGTGAATGCCAAGTGGAGGGACATTCAAACGCGTAAGGAGGGAGACCGAAGGAGTCATCCGCGCGTACCAAGTCGCCCTCCGCGTACCATTAGGAGCGAATTTTTCTCAGCGATGAGGGGGTCAAATTGAGTGGGACTTGTTGCAATGGCCTATTTAGAGGTCCCTATAATAGAATATGTAAAGATCCGCGCGACCTCAACTTTGGTGAGACATTGCCTTTAAATAATCGCGCACTATAAGTGGGCGTGGCTACCCTCGATAGTACGTAATGATCTGATATCTTGCAAATTGCCTCTGATAGTTGTGAAATGCCTTAAATGACAAAAATTTTGTTCCGCTAATTGGGCATGGTTGCCTGGAAAGGTCCTAGAATGCTCTAATATCTAAAGATTTCCCCTACAAATGGGCGGGCCGTCCACAATAGTTTAAGAATACTCTGATATTCTGAGACTTGTCTCTATAAGTGGGCGTGATTGTCCCTAGTAGTCTTAGGAGTGCTTTGATATCCTGAAAATTTCCTATAAGTGGGCGTAGCTGCCCCTACACCTCCCTGTAAGCAGGTGTTGTCCCTGATAGTCCTAGAAGTGCTCTGATGATCTGGACATTGTCTTCATAAGGGGGCGTAGCTGTCCCTAGTAGTCTCAGAACTGCTCAGATATCCTGGAAACTGTCCGTGTAAGCGGGCGTGGCTTCCCTTAAAGGTCCTAGAACGGTCTTATTTTCTGAACTTTCGTTCCGCTAATCGGGCGTGACTGTCCGAAATGGTCCTAAAATGTCCTAATTTCCTAAAATTGTTCCACTCGGAGCATGGCCAAGTGGACAAGACACTTTCCAGCCCCAACATTCGACCTTGCACATGTGACGTTCGTTGTCCCAGCAGCACACCGCTGCTTTAGCGATCAATTACCGTTTTTCGTGTCTTTACTACGATTCACTTTCCATACACTTTTTTCCCATTGCGAAGCTACGGCTTGCTAAACAGGTAAGAGAATGCACGACGAACAGCGCTATCGTAGCTGCTATCTGGAATTCATTCTCTGCAAGAGCAAAACCTCTTTTGCACACCAACCTATCAGTGAAAAGTACTCTTTTTGATAGGTTACAATTTTTTGTCGTTCTCGGCAAAAAATTCGTGATGCATAACACCCAAACTTGGATCTGCTCGTCTGTAACGCAGAATTTCTTCCTGCACGCAAAAGTACACAACGAAAAAAATGTGTTGATTTCTGGACGAGACAGGTGAAACCAAGGTCGAATTCTGCAAATTTGTTTCCAGATGAAAATAATCTCTGCCCCACCCTGTGCCACTTAAGAAAATTGACTTGTCGTTTGGGATACTCGGAAATATGTAAAAAATAGATTGAAAATGTCATCATCGATGTATTCGCGACTTCAATTTGCATTTCCGCATTTTTTGAAGGTTCAGGAATTTTGGGGAATTTGAGTTTTCTGCTCCTTACATAGAATTTAGAAGCCAATTCACGGATTTCGTTTTGGAAACTATCATCAGAGAAGACAAAAACAAAAAAAAGAAATTTATCGCTTTCACACACTAGAAACGATGACTTCCGGATTACATGGAAAAACTGAAAACTCGCTCCATAAATTTGAATTTTTATTAGCATGGTTTTATAGTTATCGCAATATGGTAGGCATACTGTTGGAGGTCATTACGCATTGATCCTTCAGAATTCATGCTTGAGTAAAATTTTCGGTTTCTCGTATCATTAAATGATTTTTTTTTTGAAATAGTGGCAGTCCACCTTTCATGGTTTTGTAGGTGTCAACAAATTTTTGGTAGACTGAACGTATTTCAAAATGTGAAATACGTAGTAGGAAATCGTTCATCGGGAAGTTTTTTGCGCCGGCGGAAGATGTCAGTATCAAATGTTGATTACAGGTTTCGCAGACGTTTACATCAATTTTGTGACGTAAGACACCCGTTGAACTTTGAAAAATTGTGCGCCGAAGGAAGTTTTGAGAAAACAGGACGGAAGAAAGTTGGTGAAGATTGTCTGCAAGTTTGTTGCACAAGTCATACTAACCCATAATCCAATGAATTTTGAGCGGAGCAATGGATTTTGGGAATATCGCAGTAATGAATTATGAGAGCTGAAAAACTGATAATCATCTAACATTGTACGCTTTCATATTTCGCGATTGCTGGTCACAAAATTGCACCACAATAGATACACATTTGTGTTTTTCCCACCCCGAAAATTCACACTAATCAGGCTTTGCCATATTGGGCGGGTTTGGCACAGAATCGAGCTCTAAGTCGCTTGCGGAAAAGGATTGTCTATAAAAGGTGATACTATAAATTATTGAGATTCCTTGCAGAATTCTCGTAAGGTTACTTTTGAGGAAATCCAGTGAAATCGGCTTCATTTTGAAAGCGTATACAAAAAGTTAATGTATATAAAAAACATAGTCTTCTTTTCTTTACTAAGTTAGATTTTGGTCTTATTTTCATCCCTAATGACCGCCAGATAAAATCGCATGTTCTTCATTTCCTCTTGTTACGACATATTTGCAAAAACGATTTTATAAGCTTAGACTTCTCTGCGATAATTTTAATCTTCAGTTTGAAGTAGAGTTTCTCGATTCCAAAAGACATCAAGCATTTAAACCTAGCTTTTATGTGCTTCTTTAGATGCTGCCGGCATTCTTAATTGCTACAGTTAAGCATTTATGCTGTCATAAATACTTTTCCTTTCTTCTTCGGCTAACAATCTAGCGAGTTTCGGTAATTATGAGTTTGTAGAAGTCCTTGAAGTCTTCAAAGCTGAAGTGCGATTTATTAATCAGTCAAGGGTTTCATAGGCATTTATCTAGCGATAGGTCAAAATTTGTCCCAGAACTATTATATTCTTCTGCGTCAAGATGCTAGTTGCAGTTTGTTATATTCTCATTTTTTGAAACTGTGAGAAAATTAGCAGTGTAAACTGGGAGAGATTCTTGAGCATCCACTTTTTCCCCTATATCAGTTCTCGAGATTTGGAACACAGCTTTGAATGATCGTCGAGTTCACGTCTTGAATTGAAACGCTCGAGATTATCAAATACGCAGAAAAAACGAATCCAGCTGTCCGAACCGATTACCATACCTGTTGATGCCCAGGCACCTAGACACCTACGTAAGTCGATCCATCTCTTTCCTGGATTCTTCGTCGAACATCTTGTGCCGAACGGGTCTGGACGGATGATTCTGGAATTTGCACAGTCGAACTTGTAAATAACCGAAGGTTCAGTGGATGATAATTAGACTTCGGGTATGGCGTTCGTCATCAGCCACACACCACACGCACACACACACGCACGCATTGCGCACTCTCCAATGCGCCGTTTCTCTCTCTTTGCCCTTCTCTGCTCTCCACACTCCTCTGAAATAACGATCGTGTACAACGCCAACGCTTGGTGAATCGCATAAGAAACACGACGTCGACTAAAAAAGGCGATGTAGCCAGTTTTCGTCGCCAAGGCGCCGTTTGCTGCCATCGGTTAGCACCGAGCGTGCTGCCTGCGCGTCGCCGTCGCCGTCGTCGTCGTCGTCGACGTCGTCGCCGCCACCGCCACCGCCGTCACCACCTACACCTACAGTCGTCAGTCCTTTGCGTCACAATATCGGCGTCACCTCAGCCACATCACAGAGAAGATGATGAGCTACTATCTTCCTCAAGTAAGTCAAACGACACTCATCTTCGGCCTTCCTCTCCCCCCTCCGCTCGAACCTCACAAATCCGGCTAGTTCCAGTTCCACCTTCGACCCTTACACCCTACATCCACCTGCGGAAGTCCAAAATGTAGGCAAACCTCGCAGTCACAAATCTTCCTCCCCTAAAAAAGCTGCTTAGATTACAGAGCCACTAAATTAGGAAGCGTCGTTAGCATTATGGACCAGAAGCGCTAAGAAAAGCGGTTTCTCACATCTAAACTGGCCTAGCATCTACATAGGCTGGAAGAACGACTACGTTTTTTGACATCTAAACGCTTAATTCGCATTTTCTTTTGGATATCTTTCAAATTCCAAGAAGCAAAACTATCCGCAACGCATTTTATCTTCTCATAGAGATTTCCAATTTTCTGGATTAATGCTTTACCTCAAACTTAAGAAAGCAGCTTAAAGCCTAATCAACTTCAAATCGTTATACTCTCGTAAAGTGCTTTTTTGCTTTCTCTTTCTTCTTCAATTCTCAATCTGTTTTTTCGTCGATTTCGGCTGAAAAAAAAACTGGCAAACGGGCTAATACGGCCATGAATGGCCTGTCTGCAATGCTTCCTTTTTGCTACGTTTGTTGAATGAATCAGACGAATTACTCGTTTTTTTTTTCGCCAGTATTTTGAAAACAGGCTCAGATCAGTATTGAAAGGTTACCACATCGAAATTGACAGATATTCGCGCTTCGTGCAAACGTGAAGTTAGCATTTAGAATTCGACAACGAGAGCGAAATACCTGCTTATTTGATGTAATTATAGCACGAAAACATAATTAGTTTTCCTCAAAAACTGAGGGAATTCCCTTTGCGTTACCAAGTCACAAAACTTGAAAACTCCAATGTTGTCCACGAATGCTTGCTCGATCAATTTTGACTTATGTTTGAAAATACAATGCCGTTTTGGGAATTTATGGCTTTTCGCTTGAAATCTAACCTGTTTAAATTAGCCAAAGTAGTTTTCTTACAAACTTTTGATAAATCAAACTTTCTCACTGGCTCGACAAAAGGTATTAATTACCTCGAGACTAATCTATTGGTTAGTTTTAGGGCGTAATGTGTTAAAAAAAAACTATCTGCTCGTGTTTTTTTAGGGTCCGACGTGTCTTCTTTTGAAATCTAATTTTTAGTACTATAACTCTATTTTAAGGCAAACATGGTTTGATGTGTAAATTTGGAAAATATGCGATGACGATTTAGAGAGATGTCAATAAAAAGTCATGATAGATGTGTTATCTATTATGGTGTGGCGAGTTCCGTGAAAACTGGAATTTTTTGTAAATAATTTGTTGACAAACCCAAATTGACCATGTTTCTAACCACGGGTTTTGTTTAGGAACACACCTAGTCGATAACGAAATTGCGTTAGCTTTTTTTATTTGAACCTTGTGGGAATTTCTGTAACTGCCCAGTAACTTCTTACTGATCGTAGAGTCAAAATTTTTCCAGACCTATACTTTTTTAATACACCAAGAATTAGTGGATCTAAAGTATTTTGACTTTAGAAAAGCAAGATTGTTTTGAAACATGTTTTCCAATTATGTTTTCGGAAGGAGTATAGAAAAACTAGTATATATTCATATATACACTAACTTTGAGCACGCTTCACAGATTTGACATAACTCGTTATTTTTGTTGAGAAATTCATAATGTCATAGCCGAAACCCTTTGCGAAAGGGAATATGAATGTCTAACCTTTGCACCAATTTTTCAACGTAAAAACGTTTTTCCAGCGCTTTGGGATTGTTTTCGTTGAGAAGATAAAATGAGGAAAAAATAAATTATCTCACATATCGTTCCTTATTTTAAATACAGCCTTTTACAGCTTCCTCTCCAGAAAAGGCTATGAAGAAGAGGGTTATCTTTTTTTTTCAAAGAATGCCATTGTTTTATTCTGTTGTGGAGAATAAGGGAATGCTAGCATGTTTAACATAGCCTGTGTTATTTTAGCTTCTGGATCTGATAACGGGCAATGACCGTAATTGCGTACGTGGCAATGCGCCGCTGCAAAGCGGCAGCGAATGAGAAGAGTGCATATTACAGCGAGAACGGCGCACGGCGCACATCGCTTCACCATTCATTAGCCCTTATGCTCGGAATGGTGAGCAAAAAGCCGCTGTCCGGGCTAATATCACAGCACGAGTGGCTCTTCCTTTTCTCGAAAACGAACGGGCGGTGAACGTGCCGAATGCTAGCGTTAACGATATTAGCCGATGTGTTTGTGCTGAAGAACTGACATGACTGATTACCGTCCCGGGTTGATGCCAGTGGGGCTTTTTGCACCCGCGGGTAAAACTGGCCCAGCAGCACTCAACGCGCTGCTTATAGCCAGCCAGCACTGCTTGCGATGGTAAAAAGGTAAAAATTCTCTCTCTCTTTTCTCGAAAAGAATTCTCTTCGGAAATTTTGCGCACTCTACATTTGGAAAGTACGTTTTTTTTCAGCGCACACCTCATACGTCGTTAATTCCGTTGTCGTTAGTGTTTTTCTTTGCACAATCATTTACTGACTGATTGCAATGTTCTTTAACGGTAATGCGAGTGAGAGCTGAATTCCGCTCTGATATAAATTACCCGGCAAGAAGTGGTTAGCAAAGGCGAAGGCATCTCGTGCTTTGGGAAAACAGGAAAACGCCCTTTTGATTAGGGACGAGTCGAAATCGCAAATTCTTTTCGCAAACTCTGAGAAACAAAGTTGAACTTTCGATCCAGTTGGTTGAAGGAAAGTAAACGTGAATGTCGTGATGAAGAATCTTCGGGATTAGCAGTGCCCGGTCCTTTCCTTGGCCGATTAACATGTTGGAATTCACTTCCCCCTACTTTTACTCGTTCCCTCCCCCTACTATTAGTAAGTGAAATAGATAATTTACTCATTACTTGACATATTTATCAATTGAATTCAAAATAAAATTTAAATCTATGAAGATTCGATGAACGCAGTCGGTTCCCAGTTCATTTCTCATTTCCGCAAGAAACATGCCCGCTTGCCCTTGTATGGCAACTGCTAGGGCCAGCTCTTTAAAATCGAATAAAATTGCCATGGTGTAAAATTCCTTGATTGATTTCATTATAAGTATTTTATCATCTTTTGCTTCCTAGCTCAAAGTTAGCGTCTTTTGTTATTCGCTTCGCCCCTCCCCCCCCCCCCCCGAAAAAGGTAGCAAGATTTCTAAAAAAGTCTACAGCGTATTTCTGAAAATAGCCTAAAAAAGTGACTATCAAAATTTTTGAATATCAAAAAAAAACCTCTCCCGCCACTGATACTTGCGTCTGGGTATAACAAACATTACTTCGTAGACAACGTGATAGAATGGACGTCAAGGACTAGGTAGCTCCATAGATAAATGCTTACTGTGGTTGCTGTAAAACTAACCATGAGTTTTATTTCTACCAGCAACAAGGGATTTGCCAATTCTCTCATAACGCAAAATTCGCGGAATGAAAAGCAGATCTCAACATTTTGCGATGTTTTCAGTAAATGGGGTTAGTTCAAAACTTACGTTTTGTGCTACCATAATGAAAACTAGCCATAAATTGAACTAAACAGGATAATCGGTGGCGACATCCCGAAGAAAAGTTCAATATTCTATGCAAAAGCTTGCGAAATTCATTTACAGTTCGTCCAAGAGCAGTTTGTAAAACTTCATGAAGATAAAGTTAATTACGACTTACAAATCTGCATTTGCGTACATAAATGTTTATGCCTACAAAGATTTTTGTTTTTCTCATCAAAGATGTTTAAGGGCATGACGCCGTCGGTATCAAACACTTACTACACCTCGTTAGAAGCACCGCGATTAACTACGGAAATTCCTGAAGATAACGAAGTACTGCCAGATGCTATCGAAACTATCACAGATTCCACAAAACCTGAAGATATCCGAAAGCCAAGAAGAAAAGGTGATTTCACGATAATTCTGAGCCTGTTTCAAGGTAATAAATTCAGGTACAAATCTCTATGGACGCCCGTATTGTCCGGGTCGACCACTTTCTATGGCAGAACGGCGACGGATCATCGAGCTACATATGAGCGGCATGAAAGTGAATGCAATCTCCAAAACTTTGTGCATATCACACGGTTGTGTTAGCAAGATTATCAGCAGGTGAATAGTAGAGCAATTCGCAAGTAATCAGTTCAAAGAACCAGCAATACGTCGTTGTCTATAGTTCGCTGAAGCGCAATCAGGTGATGATAGAAATGTCTCAAAAAATGCCTGTCGTTTAGGTTCGTAATATCAAACTTTGGCAATAATCAATAAATCTTCGGAAGTGAAAAAGTATTGGTCGTAATCTTACTATGAAGCCTTTGCTTTTTTCTTTGTCAAATATGATGTAATTAGTAACAATGAAAAATACTGGGTGACTGTTTAGATGTGTCTTAAAAAGCGCTCGTAGACTGCGACCTGCTGACATGCTTTTTCATAGTTTCAAAAGTTATTACACCATTTTTGCATTACCTCAAAATATTGTATATATTGTTCGCTTTTGAAGACATCGTTATTTGATAGGTAAGATAATCCCAATTGTGGTTGTGCTCAAGAAGTTGCATTATCTTTATACAGTTGCCTAGTAATTAGTACAGGCAGAACTGAAATATCTCAGCTTGCGCAATGCCGTGGGGAGCACTATTGCCGAACATCGGTCGTGTATTCGCGACGAGACCTCTCGCTGAGCACGTTGCCAAGCCGAGGTGTACATATGGGTTGCAGAGAGCTGCACGCGTCTTTTCGATCCTTTCTGTATCAAATGTCATCGTTATGCTTCAGCAACCTCCTGTAAGAGTTGCACCATACTGCGCGGCGTACGCCCCACATCTTTGAGCACTTGAGCATATATATGCTGCTTACGTCGCGTAGGCAGCGTACGCCGCGAAGGGCCCGACCCCATGATTTCAAGCAAAGTTTTTTATGTTAGCGGTTGAGCGCAGATAGGCATTGGAATCGGAGGAGCAACAGCACAGTAGTTATAGTTAATAATGGATGAAGTACACCAGCGAAGGAGATGGCCTGCCTACTTTGGGTATGGCATAGTATAATGGCATTAGATGACATACGAGGTGCTGGGCTTTACCGAAGTGCAACAGAGAAGGAAAGCAGCTAACAGTGTCTATTTCATTGAATGTTCGCGAATAACAGCTCGCTTGCAGAACCATGCACTAAAATTGTAAAGCAAAGCAGCAAAATATAAGGTTTTTCATTCTTAAAAACGGTATATGATTGTAAAGGAAGTGCTTGAGTGGTAGCTTTTGAGACGATGTCAGATAAATTCCGCGTGAAACCAATGTTTCTGTTCAGATACCGTCAGACAGGCATTCTTTCTCCTGCCTCATCTCCTGAACAGCGCCGATCACGACGGAAGAAGAACGAGTCGCCGCCAGCCGAAGCTCAGGAGTACAAGTCAGAGTTTAAGCAGGAATACCCACATCCAGACTACATTCCGCACGAGTTCCGCGTACATTACGCGGCGCAACCGCATCCCGCCGATATGCCGATGCAGCACTACACGATGATTCCAGAGCAGATGCTCGTGTCCGACTATCCTCAGTCCGTGCTACTCTGACCACGACGTGGAGATTGACACCTTTCGGTGCACGGAGAGCCCAAGCTGTGCCTTATGTGCCTTGCCGTCCTTTGTCTCTTTCAAATGACTGCCCTAACTATGAAACGAATTTTGTAGCGGTGCCTAAAACGGGTGCTTCACATCAAATGTCGAACCCATGATTTTTATCTCCGTTTAGTCAAAGCCATAGTTACTACTATTTGCTAGTGAAACGAGTAGTTATACGACTAGAAATATTGTCGTTTGTTAATCAACATTTATGAGTTTGTGCCCTGTTTTGTATGACGAGTAGCGCACGCATTTCACTTTCTTTTCTGCCGGTAATTCGTCACTGCTTTCACTTTATCATTTTCGCCTAGATTACGATGTAAATATCGCCACAATCATGCCAGTCACTTAAATCCCCACATCTATCATGCCAAATGTTCTTGTCGCCACTAGAAACTAGTCTCTATGATTATATGCATTTTTTAGATGGAAATAGAGAGCAAGAGATCGAGATCTCTTATTCGCCATTCTGATAAATAAAGTGTTATTATTGGAATGTTGCTTGTTTGAGATGAAATGACTTATCAGACTGAACTACAACACTTAAGACTTCGTATAGATTAGAACATAAGTTCTGCAACAACATCTGCAAAAGATTTGTGAATATACCCATTTTCAACAAGTACGCCTGATTCAGTGAAGTTAGGGAAAGAAAATCATGCACTCTCGCTCGGGTCTCACAGCGAAAATTGTAATTGGTACTTCGCGGTACAAGGCGATAAGGAAAAATTTTAAAGAAAATCTGAAACTTGCTCGCAAAAAATGCCGGATTATCAGAAAATTTATCAGAAATCTAAGTTTGATTTTGATACTTTGCGGCCAAATCTTCTGGACTTAATATGATTATCTCAGTGATATATGATTAAGAAGTTTTTGTTAGTAAATTTTTGTATTTGTTTGAAAAACTTTTTTAGTATGCATGACAAATACAGAAAAAATGCAGATATATTTTGAAGGTCGAAAAGTACACTCTAATTTGGGATTTTCTTATTTCTAAACGATTCTTCGAAATTTTTGCTGTCATTTGGAGGACAAAGGGGTCGCTAACCCTAATTCGGGAAAAAATCTCAGTTAAACACTGACCTCGTAGAAAAAGTTCCACGACAAATTCTTTGCTTTGTGTCGGTTCTGCAATCGTCTAAGTTGTTGAAACCACCAGGTTGAGCGTTTTCATGATCCATTAAAATGCGATACTTCCTGGGAATGAAATCTTGCTCCAATGAATGACTTCGCTCGAGTTGCTGGTCTTCGTCTAGAACACATTTTTTATATGCAGCAGAAGCGGAGCTGCGTTTTATGCGCGTAGGGAGGTACTGAACTAGAATTCGTAATCAACAAAGATACGTCAAATCTCGTTAAATCTCGTAATGGTTTGTTTATGCCGTAAGCTGAAGGTTCATGAAGCTACATTCTGAAGCTCTGAACAAAATCGAATCAGTGCGCCTCATATAGTTAAAATCTGAAACGTTGTCTAGATTCCTCTTGCCAAGAAGTTCCCAGATTCTTCTTGCAAATATCTATCCTTCTTTAGATGTGAGTACTGTATCTGTGCAGATGTCTAATGAATAAAGAATTATGACTTACGATTCATGATATGAACTTGGTTCAAACTGAATTATTCGAAACCAAGCACATTTATCATATAAGGATTCTACTATATTCACCGGATGCTGTTCGTAATCTATATATCACGATGTTCTTCTGACAACAAATGGGCGGATTCAATCCCGCGAAATTTGCAGCGCAACTGAAGAATTGCACGCCCCATGGAAAACGCTTCGTTTGGTATTTGATAGAGGATAGAGATTAGGCCAGAAGAGTTGGGAAAATTCTTGACAATGGTAAATAAGCAAGTTATGGAGTAACCTATTTGATTGTTAAGCATTCGCGATCGCGAGAGATGGCTTCTGTATTGTGGAGCGGCCCGCGACTAACACAAAAGCAAAATTGTAGACATGAAAAATTGGAAGGACGTGTTAGTATTTTAAAGGCAGCGTCCAGGCAGATCTGGACCTATGGGGCTTTTACATGGAAAGTACTTTTGGGGTCCTAACTAAGGCACTGCCCAAGCGGCAGCTCAGGTAGTGCTTTAGTGGTTGAGATATTCCATTCGAAACTGGACCCCGCGACCGTGTTTCGCATTGATTCATGGCGCAAAGCGTGGATCCTGGCGCGAAACTGCCATATATCCATGCGAATACGTTCGCGGGGGCCAGTTTCGAGGGGAATATCTCAGCCAGTAGAGCACTGCCTGAGCTGCCGCTTGGGCAGTGCCTTAGTTAGGGCCCCAAAAGTACTTTCCAAGTAAAAGCCCCATAGGTCCAGATCTGCCTGGACGCTGCCTTTAACTGTTGAATCTTGTATTCAATTCAATACTGAACGCGACATACAATGGTAGTATAGGAATAGTCGATTTTGTTTAATGAGAAGTACTACAAATAACAAAGTCGTCCATAGGACTACCAAAACTTACTTCTCCACTGATCATGAAGGTGTTTTCGCGCTCAAGCACTCAAAACATGCCTAACTTTTGGAGTAACAGGAAAGAGAATCACAATAGTGTGAGCTTAGTGGAAGGGACAAGTAGATACAAAACTATAACTTATAGAGTGCAGAATTACGTTCACTTTTGATCATTGATTTCTGCGGAAGCATACTGTAGTATACACCAAACTTGCAGGAGCTTTAAGGAAGGTGCAAGGATTCTGACCAGACAATATAAGCGTACAAGTTGGAAAGAAAAGTAGTGAAAATGCGACTAAGCTCAGCAATTAGTGAAATTACCCAATCTCAGAGTCTTATCACATGCTTTGCATTTCTAAATGAGCTAAATTATTTTCAGTAAACTGAGAGGTCCAATAATGAGGTAGCACATGGAAAGATTTCACAAAAATAACGTTGCAGTTTCATTTTATATGTGGAATTATGAAGAAAATGGGTACATTAAATAAGTGAAGTGAAGCCGTGTAGCTCCTCATTCACTAACACTGTTCACTTAAAGAGTTAACTTTATCTTGATAGGTGCAAAAGTGGGTCCAACTCTCCTCTCCGATATGATCTTCAAAACAAGCAAAATCTTCAAATCTCTACTTCCCAATTTGACAATACGGTAGCAGAGGCTCGATGGCAATGGATATTTTTGCTGCTTTTGCGCACAGGTATGCTGAGGAAGATATGCCTACGAAAGCTTCTCACAAAACATCCACTGTTGTCATGACGATACTGCCAAAAAATCAAGTGAGAAGCTCAGCAAGATTTGGTTCAACAGGTAAAGCCGACCTAGAACGGTTTGGCATTGCAATAGATGCCTAATAGCTTCAAAAGAAAGCGAGTTTTGCGTGCATGAGAATATGATGACTACGGTAAATGGTTGAGCCAGAAAAATAGAGATTTTGAAGACAAGTCAAATCTTAAGGTTATGTGCTCGGTAAACCTGCTCATAGCTTGAACGGCTATGGTATTATACAAAGATTTCCTTGAAGATTTAGCAAGTAAAGCTCAAAGTAAACTATCGTTGAGTAAGGGTTGGCAGCTTAAAGTACCTCACAAGCTTTCTTTCAGTCTTCTTCAAAAGTCTTAGTACGCGGTTTGGGTAAAACAGACCGTTGAATCGAAAAATATTTCGATTTTGGAAGGAAATACGGCACTGAGTCACCGAGGATTCTTGTGAGGGAAGGGATAATAGAAACTGAAGCTTCCGGCCGATACCGATATTAGTATCGATATTCCTGAACATCATAGTAGAGTTTCATGAAAGCCAACAGACCACCACCGTTGAAAACAAGCCACTGACAACGCTTTCTACCGTATCCCGAGTGCGTGACTGGTGAAGTGAGACCTCGCTTTGACGAGTCCGCTGTTTTTTGCGATTGAATTCTTCGTAAGATTACTGTACATTTGCACGAAGACATGAGGAAAGAACGTGTCGTCTTTTGGTGAATCGCTAAATGTGCAAGTGTGAGCAAATTGTATGCAAAATAATCACACTTGTCATTTCAAGCAGTTATTTCTCATATGTTGCGAGGTCGTACCGGCTTATCACTATCTAGGCTAAATTAAAAGCAAAAACTGACTATAATTGCCCTAAAATTTGGTAGCGTGACCGGAACCTCGGCATGACATTGGTCGCCTGTGTCGGTCTTTGTCGCCTCCCCTAGATTTTTTAGATCTGAACTTCATCAAGCTTACACAGCTGCTTAGTTCTCCCTTAGAAGGATCATTAGAGAGAGTTGAGAATTTAGCATAAACTCCGATCCTAGAGGAAGGGATATAGTGACTTCTGCGGAATGATCCTAGCTGTTGGCTCATTTTGATTCAGCCTAAAAGTTGCTACTTTACGAGAAAATAGACTACAGAACTTTTTTTTCCTCTTCCTTTCTTCTCCCTTATCGTACAGTTATGGAAGCAGAAATAGCCAGAGCAAGCACTATAACGCCTCAAGCGGCTGTCACTTCGGTTGATCATACCCTTGCACTTCTCTTACTGATAAGCTTCCAGCATTGAATGATCATCTGCGTTCCTCGTCTTGCATGCTCACTAGTTTTATTATAAATCATTATTCCTTAAGTTTGGAGTCTACCTCAAAAAGTAGTAGAAAATGGAAAATGTGTCTTAGTTCAAGAGTCACTATTGCTGCTCCATAATTGCAAAGCTTAGCGAAGAAATTAAAAAGATTGCTTTATGAAATGAATCCAAACGTAACCTTGATGAACGAGCATATGCTTGTGAAAGGATGATGAGAAAGCTCAATGAGTTACCTGAAAATTTGAGCCATATCTGAAGAACCTTGCTGAGTCAAAGCTAAGCAAGAGTAGTTATCAAAACCCTGAAGTTTCTTCAGTGGATCGAGTTAGTGAAACTCAGCGCTCATAAGCTTTGAAATTCATCTAATTTAGTCGACCTTGGTAGGCTTGTTGGTACTCGAGTCTGCTTCTAGATGAGTAATAGTGGTTAAGTTGGAATTGAACAAGGCAATGTGATAATAATTTCTCAACACGACTAACTAGATGTACATTTTATGGAGCCCTTAGCATTATCTACGCCATATCACAATGCGCCCATTCGTACAAAAAGCCTGTGTCGTAATTCAGTACAATGATTAAGCTGAAATTATTCTACTTATGATGCTACCGAAGCCATAATTATCAGATCAAAAGAGCTTGATTATCTCCAAATTAATGGCACCGCTTGTATGCATGCTACAGTACTTCCTTCCATAATTGACGCTGTAAAAACACATCTGACATCGTTCGGTTCCATCGTTTACACGATAAATATTGGTGGTCACAGTACTTTTCAAATATGCGGATGCTTTCATCCAGAGCTTGGAAGCTATCCGCAATTGGTTTGGGAAGTGATGCAAAAGCATATATACTTCAACTCGATCATTTCCGTTTTCTTTACATTCTTAACTGATTACGTATATC